TCAATAGCTATAGTAATAGACAGGAACTGTCTGTTTACAGGGCTAACATCTAACGAGATATAAGTAAACACATACAATTAGTATCCCCTCTAATGTCATTCTCTAACAATACAGGTTTGCATTTCAAAGTTCTAGCCCATCTAACATGGGCCTAATTACCATTTACATACTTTTCTAACCTGTCTCTAAAGGTTGAATCTGGGTAAATTAGCCTGCGAGCTGCTTAACTCTTTTTGGCCATGTGTCACAAGAGCATAGAGACCAAACCTAGCATCAAAGCCAGCAGAGGGAGCACAAGGCAACAATGTTTCAGAGTTATGCTGAGGCACTGAGGGGATGTCTATTCAGTGTTTTGAGCCCAGGTGGGCAGATTTGCTTTGGCGGGGCCCACACTAGCATTCTAAAAATAGCTGCATAGATGACTCTTTGAGATGAGGGTCATGCTTTGAAGCCTAGGGAGACAGAGGTGCAAGATGCAATTTCACAGTAAATTAGTCCTCAGCTACATTGGGGTTCTAGAGGGCCATGTTTCAATATGGTTCCAGCTAAAATGGGCTCTGAATCTGACCAGTCATAACAAAAAGTTGTCCGTTTGGAATATTAGTTTACACTTCTTTTAAAACTGTGTGTGGAAAAAGCACTGTTCAAACACTTGATGCTTTAAATCCGAAGTGGGTTTCTTGGTTACAGAAAGTCTCTTCTGAGCCTTTTTACAGGAGCCTAACATAGGCCAACTGAGCATGTGTGCATATGTTTTTGCACATTTCTATGTTCACAATTATATATATCATTTTATTTCCTTGTGTTCCAGGAATGGGCCTTAACTAAGGACAAGTCAGTGAAACATATGGATTTGTGCCTTACTGTTGTGGACCGAGCACCTAGTTCACTAATAAAACTCCAGGGCTGCAGAGAAAATGACAGTAGACAGGTGAGTACATAATGTATGTAACTCACTGTGCAAGCAGTTCTACTAGAAAATCAAAAATCTCCATGTGTGCGCGCACACATGCATACTTAACCTGCTGAGGTTCTTGGCCTATACAAACCAATAGTTTGCTCCCTGCCCCACGTATGTACATATCAGGATGCAGATGACTCTCTCTGCCAGCAGGACAGATGGGAGGTGCAGTAGAAATGAAGTGAGGCTATGCTTGTGTGTTGAGCGCTTCACCCATTTGTGTGGCCAAAGAGAGGCATTGATTATAACTTGATTTGAGATGGACGTGAAACTCAGAAAGGACTCCAGTGGAAAAGACAGTATTAGTGGAACTGGTATATGGATGCTACATTTTTTCCACTAAATTATATGGAGGTTAGATATTTAGAAAAGGGCTGTCAAAATCTCTTGGTAGCCTGCTAAAAGTGACCCCTCTCCGAAGGTCTCTTGGTGGTGTTAAAGCAAACATATATTTTTTTTAATAATCAAGGCAATGTGCCCATAAGAATCTAAATGCTGGCAAACTAGGTACATCTAAAACACTGGAACAACACAGTCATAAAAAGGAAACAGTCTTGAGTCTTTTACTGAGGAAAGAAAGATACATGCAGGGATATGTAATGGCAGACCGCATTCCAGAGACCATGGCCTCTAGATGGAGAAAATAGTGTGTAACTCCTCCCTTCTGAAAATTGTAACCTGGGAGGCCAAATTTAGGGCAAGTTGAGCCCTCATTTACACCTTTGAAACCCCTAAGAAGCTTTGAGGTTGCATAGGTATAACTGAGGGCTGTGTTTGGCTCTATTGAAGTCTTTTTACTAAGGTATATGAGTATGTAATTTCTTAAAGTGCATTACGGAATATGGGTGGAAAGCTACAAGTTGCCATGCACAAGTAAAATCACATTTGCAGAGTCATCTCAGCAGCAAATCCCTTTCATATAGTCATAGAGAAAGAAGTCTGCTCTGCAAAACCATGGTTTTTTCTTTCCTCCAAGCCTCTGTGCTTTTGTGCTTAGGGAGTAACTATTCTGCAAATACTTCATGACTGGGAGTTTGCTTTCTGTGAGATACTATTTAGTGCAGACATGAGCAAACTACGGCCCATGGGCCACATCCGGCCTGCGGGACCGTCCTGCCCAGCCCCTGAGCTCCCAGCCAGGGAGCCTAGTCCCCAGCCCCATAGCCACGCGGGTCACGCTCTGGCCAGCCACTCCCGCTGGGCAGCGTGGGGAGTGCAGCTGGCTGTGGCCGGGTGTCGCGGCTGAGAGCTCCTGCTGCTGGTAAGGGGGTGGGGAGCGGGGGGGTCCTGAAGGGCAGTCAGGGAGGAGGGGGTGGTTGGATGGGGTGGAAGTTCTGTGGGGGCGGTCAGGGGATGCGGAACAGGGAGGGTTGGGATTGGGAGTTCCCATGGGGCCTGTTAGGGGGCAGGGATGTGGATGGGGTCAGGAGGGCAGTCAGGGGACAGGGAGTAGAGAGCAGTTGGATAGGGGGTGGGAATGTGGGGGGCTGTCGGGGCGGGGGTGTGGATGGGGGCGGGACAGTCAGGGGACAGGGAGCAGGGGGGTAGGATAGTGGGCGGGGGTCCTGGGAGGGGGCGGTCAGGGGACAAGGAGCAGGGGGGGTTGGATGGGTCAGGGTTCTGAGGGGGGCAGTCGGGGCAGAAAGTGGGAGGGGGTGGGGGCCAGGCTGTTTGGGGAAGCACAGCCTTCCCTACCCAGCCCTCCATACAGTTGCGCAACCCCAATGTGGTCCTCGGGCCAAAAAGTTTGCCCACCCCTGATTTAGTGAGAATGTTAACTGGGGGTACAACCAAACTTAATGGATTCGTTTTACAAAATATGTTTGGGTCAGAACTTCAGATATCTCCCTTCCCTCTGTCAGCCCAACCCCCTCAGTCTTCTCATCCAGGAGAGGAGACCACTTCTGCTTATGCCAGAATCTCTGCACAGTTGCCAATGTTTAAGAAAATTTGGCAAAGGTCAGTTCTTTGAATAGGCTGCGAGCTGCTAGGTCCCCATCTGTCAGAGGGTTTGTGGGCATTCTAGTTACAGTATTTACCAACATTGTCGCAAACTCCACCCTTAAAGGCAGGACAAGTATCATCCCTATTTTAACAAATAGGGAAACCAAGGAAGAGAGTTCTTGACAAGGGTCACAGTGGGAAACTGTCAGCCAGAAATAGAACACAGGAGTCCCTTGTTCTTAGTCCCATACTTGGTCAATCAGACAAGTGTCCTCAGCAGTGCCCTGGACAATGCTGCTTTTAACAGCCACAAATTAATTAGGTGGGTTCCAAAAATTTGAGGGATCTATGGCTATGGTTTCCACAACCTCTGAAAGACCCCCTTGGGGATCAGTTCTTGTGATTTACAATTTTAAGACATCGGGCGGGGGGGAGCACTGAAGTTAGTGCTGATATTTCTATGTCCCGCAGGTCGGGGGGACCACAGCTGCAGGCTTTGCAGGCCTCTAACCTGGCACTGCATTGGGATTGTATGTATTTGAGGAGAGAGCTGGACAAAATGACTCAGTGTAACCTCCATTTCTAGTGCAAAGTATTAGCTGGATTAATGGTTGCTTTAGCATAGCTTGTGATAGTTTGGACAAGTCTTTAAAGGACAGTATCTAAACTATTGTCTCGGTATTCAGAATTACCACAAACAGAGGCCGGGGAGGGATTTGAGGACGGAGAACTAGGAAGGCAGAACATGAAACACATTTTTATCCACGCTTGGATAGCTCATTACTTCATTTTTTTTCCAGAAATGGGAGCAAATTGAGAGCAACTCTAAACTGAGACATGTTGGCAGTAATCTGTGTCTAGACAGCCGAAATGCCAAAAATGGCGGTCTTACTGTTGAGGTCTGCAATCCTTCTCTGTCGCAACAATGGAAATTCACACTTAATCTACAGCAGTAGAAGGGCTTACACACAACGCCATCTTGTTTCCTAGACATTGGGCAAAGTTTTGATTGCATTACTGATATATTTCTTAAACTTTCCACGGAACTTATATACCTCAGTATTCCATCTTCGTCTGAAAGTAGGAGAGAACAAAGCTGAACACAAGGGAACCAAGGGGACGTGGAACACTGCAATTATCTCACTGAACGTATGCAGCAAAGTTCCCTTCTGGTGTAAAGACTTCTCAGTTCCTGTCTGACTTCAGTTTAGTACTTGCACAGCAGATGATTAACATCCCTAGAAACAATTGATGTACAGTAGAAAATGGATCTTAACACGCAGAAGGAGGGAGGGGAATAGGGTGGGGGGAGGGAGACTGGGGAAAATAAACTGCTAGGAGAAATTGAAATCTCCATTTACATAGAAATCATCATTTGTGGTTTCCAGAAGCTGAAGTGTCATTTTGAAGGTTTTTTCCATGTGTAATTGGTATATTTGAATATGAACTTTTCTATGATGGACTCTAAATATATATATTATACATATATATATAATATATATATTTTATCAGTTCCCAACTGTTTATCAATTTTCCTCATCTTGTAATTATCAACCAAGTGATTAACATACTTAAACCGGAAAGAGGATTGGACTGTTGAGGGAACAAAACTGTGTGAAGGTGTGTCATGTCCATGCTAACACTGGATGCTTTTGCTTTGCAAACTGGACCTACTTCTTAGCACTTCACTATCTGTGGAGATTATGGAACTCAAGAAGAGGAAGAGGAAACAGCAGAACAAACTGATGGATCTGCACACATCATTGCTTGGATTGTCTCTTCTGACTGGGAATTCAGTACGTGTGCCCTGGGTATCTGTAAACTTGTACTTGATATTTATGTTGAACATTTCTCTAGTACTTGGTCTTTAAAATACTTTTTTCTTTTATTAAAAAAAATTATAAGCAGTGCAGCTCTTTCACAGGTGCAGCCATCGGGGTTCAGCACAGTTTGTTTTTTTAAGCACGACCCTGATCAGCTTAATTTCTTTCTCTTAATGAGTCAGGATAAGACAGAATAGTAGCATCACTGTATACAGATAGCACAAGATCATCATACGTTTTAATCTGCAAGGATCAGCAGAGTTCCACTTGTTTAATTTATAAACCTGCTATAGGGGATCCTACTTTTTTTTTATTCCTCCAAACAGAATTTTTGAAACTGATCCAGGCTCTACTGTGGGTACCAGCAGATGCCAAGTGGTGTTTTTAACCTTAGAACAAATGCAGTTTACAGCTTCAGCCCAATTAACATCATTTTTGTGTTAAAACAATGCTGTCAAAGTTAACTTGACCCCAACATTGACCTACTTGCTTATGTTTGCCTAGACTATATGATTTGTTAAAAGCTCACTGAAACATTTGTTTTTAAAATAAAAACAAAACAAAACAAAGAAAGAATTGGTGCTGGCAATAATAAACACTGCATTGATAACTTGGAGATGAGCAATGTAAAATCTAGTTTGGGAAGATAATGGATCTCAAACAGCCTAGGGGCTGATTATAAAGAGAGATTTAGAAATATTGTTACTAAACCGTACTATGGCAGTGTTCTTTTCCTTTTTCTGAGTCTCTGGGAGTAGAGTATGTCATGAGCTGCACTTTCCTTTCTGGCTGCATTTAGTACAGTAAGTGGAATCTCTCCATGCAAAATGGTTTTTACTTTGCGTGACAGACATTGAAGTAAGAGGCCCATAAATGTGTCTGATGTATGAGTTGGAGTTGCTTAACATGCATTTGTGGATCTACACAGGTGTCCTTTTGGATGTACCAGGAACACTTGGGGAAGAGATTGAATCAGCGCTCCTCCCTTCTGTCCAACTCTCCTACAAATACATGAAGAGGAGGGATCTCTCTCTTCTTCCTTCTTCCTTCACCCTTCAATCCTTTTATCTCCTCTAGTAAAAACCCTGGGCATTTGCCTGTTTCAAGGTGGCATGCAGTGGATAAACAACTTTTCAGCCTTCAGTTTCTGACCATCCACACCCTTTGAGGTTTTGTCTATGCTACAGGCACAACAGAAACCAGACACTTGCTATAGCAATGTAAGGGGTTTTTCTGTCACTGTAGCAAATCTGCTTTAGAGGGAGTTAGCTAGGTCCACAGAAAAATTGATCCATTGACGTAGCAGTGTCTATACTGGGGCTTATGTCAGCTTAACTCTGTCTCTGTGGTGTCGGTTTTTCACACCCCCGAGCAATGTAGCTAGGTCAACCTAACTTTTACGTGTATATTAGGCCTAAACTAGCTGAGTTTGCAGAGGGACGTGATTCAGTCATGGTGGGGATTGCTGCTACTCTTGAGAATAAACGTTGAATTCTTGAAGACTGATCTCAGCAGCAAATTCATTATGGTCTAATTGTTCTGAGAGAAGAGAATTTAAAAGGTGCACTAAATTCATACTATGCTGCATTTCCCTCTGTGACTTGCAGCTTAGCAAATGGACATGCTACTGCTAACTGAAATCAGGAACGAGTCTGGATAAGGTTGACTGTTCTGATTTCTACCTCTAAGCAAGATCATTAGTAAAAAGTCTTAATTTTTATAAATTCCACCCTCCCCCCATCTTGATTGCAAACCAAGTCTTTAAATGTCATCCTACATATTGTGAAATAGAAATATATCTTTAAACCCCATGGAAGCTATGCAGATGCGTCTGGAGCTGTACAATAGACAGCATCACTGTATGTGTCGTGGGCGCAGAACAGAAAAGAGGTTGTATCCTTTTGTTAGATATGTTTACATGACTGTGTGCCAAAGTTATTTACTGTGATTTAATTATTTTTAAAGTATCAGGATTATTATGAGCCCCTTTTTAAGAAAGGTAAAATTCCTAAGAACCCCTGAATCAAATTGTGATGGAGTCGTCTCTGAAAGATCTTTTCTTATAGTCTTCAAAGCAAAAATGATGGTACATGTGAGCTTGTTTTGCAAATTTTCAAAATATAGTTTGGAAATTGTCTTTTCAGTTGGTTTAAAAAGAAATCTGCTGTACAGAGCTTGTACTTTGTTCATTTTATAGATGGAAACCATCCTTGAAAACTTTAACTTAAATAAAGAAAATTACTTTATAGATAAGATTGTGGTTGATGCTATAATTATTTGGTTTCATGCACCCAGAATCTGGCAGCTGTTTCCAAATGCTTTGATCCATTTGACTGTTTCATGAGTGTCTTTTTTAAAAAAAAAAAAAATTTTTTTACAGGTGTCTTCACTGGAGAAAAGTTATATGTAAGTGAGTTTAAATGTTAACCTGTAGGAAACTCTTATCGAGGGTGTATTTTCCTCTTCAGGACCAGTTTCCTGGCTCTCTGTGGCCTCTAAAGAGTGCTGTTGTGGGCATGAAAGTCTTTTACTGCTGGGAGTTTCAGGAGGGTCAGGGTCCTGCTTCATTCCTCCAACATACCTGGTTTCCCTGATTCTTCCAGCAGGGAAGAACAGCATCTGGCAACACTAGCAGCAGAGATTTAGATAGGTGGGGAAAATGAGGTTCTCTAATGAGGCAAATGGGAGGGAATAACAGTGGCGGGGATGGAGCTCTTGCAGGGGCATTCACTTGGGGTGAGACTTTCAACAGTGCTTAGTGTTGGTCTAGCTCAGGTCAGGAATCACGCCAATGCTGGGCCCCTCGGAAAACCCTCACCCCCCAAGGCATCACACTGAGAACTTTCTGGACAAAGTCCAGAGTGAATTGGAGAACACCCTTGCTGTTCATTGACTAGTCAGCACTGCTAATCAGAGTTCCCAGGGCCAGTCCCCACTGACATAAATAGCAAAACTCCCATTGTCCTTCATGGGCCCTTAGTTTGCTGGAGGGAAAATATAAACACAGCCATGTGGTCCCTGAGGAGATGGACACCTAACCTATCCAGCCCTGCTAGGTGATTGTGGGGCTACACCAGAATTTAAGCACTGCCACCATCTTAACCACCCCTACCTCTGAGACATAAATCATTATCCCTCTGTGTACTGGAATCCTGTAATATCAGTGGGTAAAAACAGACCTTTATAGAAGACATTACTGAGCTATATTCATATTTGGGTGAAAACAAATAACCCTGTCAAATGACAGTAAACAAAAGAGACTTTTCTTTTTCATTTAGAAGTTATATTAAAACATAGGGATTACATGAGACAAAAAGTTGCAATTTTTCTACATTTTCAAACTGTATGCAAAGAGTGGCCATGTCCACTTCTATATACCGGTATATCACATTTAATATACACTGCCAAGTGGAATTGTATCCCATACTGCTTGGCGTGAAAATGTAATTAAGTAACCTGTATAGTATTTGATACAAATTTATCCCGCCTCTACATCAAACTCAGTCTTCCCCCGAATAATCTATGTAGTTCTTCCTTCCATCTATGAGAAATCTCTGATGTTCCATCTCTATGCTGATTTCTGAAAATCTTGACTACCAATAAATATAACTATTACAAATTAAATACTCATTTAGATCTAATTAATTCTCTTAACAATTCTGTATTCCAAAATACTCATTTGAGACTCGATTCATTTTCAGTGCTGAATTCAAATGTCTGAATAATAGATTTCCATTAACTGCTTTTCTATCTTTTTATTGAATGTAGGGCTGTCAAGCAATTTAAAAAAATCATGATTAATCACGCGATTAAAAAAAATTGTGTGATTAAACAATAATAGAATACCATTTATTTAAATATTTTTTGATGTTTTCTACATTTTCTACAACGTCAAACTTTATAGCCTACAAGTCCAATCAGTCCTATTTCTTGCTCAGCCAATTGTTCAAACAAACAGGTATGTTTACATTTGCAGAAGATAATGCTGCCTGCTTCTTGTTTATAATGTTACCTGAAAGTGAGAACAGGCGTTTGCATGGCACTGTTGTAGCCGGCGCCGCAAGATATTTACATGACAGATGCGCTAAAGATTGTCCCCTGATGCTTCAACCACCATTCCAGAGAACATGCGTCCATGCTGATGACAGATTCTGCTAGATAACGATCCAAAGCATGTTTATTTTCATCATCTGAATCAGATGCCACCTGCAGAAGGTTGTTTTTCTTTTTTGGTGGTTTGGGTTCTATAGTTTCCGCATTAGAGTGTTGCTCTTTTAAGACTTCTGAAAGCATGCTTCACACCTCATCCCTCTCAGATTTTGGAAGGCACTTCAGATTCTTAAATCTTGGGTCAAGTGCTGTAGCTATCTTTAGAAATTTCATATTGGTATCATCTTTGCAGTTTGTCAAATTTGCAGTGAAAGTATTCTTAAAATGAACATGTGCTGGGTCATCATCCAAGACTGCTATAACATGAAATATATGCAGATTGAGGGTAAAACAGCAGGAGACATACAATTCTACCCAAGGAGTTCAGTCACAAATTTAATTAAGGCATTATTTTTTAATGAGCGCCATCAGCATGGAAGCATGTCCTCTGGAACGATGGCCAAAGCATGAAGAGGAATAATCTTGAGCGCATCTGGCACGTAAATATCTTGCAATGCCAGCTACAAAAGTGTCATACGAACACCTGTTCTCACTTTCAGGTGACATAGCAGAAGCAGGCAGCATTACCTCCCGTAAATGTAAACAAACTTGTTTCTCTTAGCGATTGGCTGAACAAGAAGTAGGACTGAGTGGACTTGTAGGCTCTAAAGTTTTACATAACTGCACTCAAAAATAAAATGTAACAAAAAATCAACATTTATAAGTTGCACTTTCACAATAAAGAGATTACACTTCAGTACTTGTATGAGGTGAATTGAAAAATACTACTACTTTTATCATTTTGGTGAAAACAATTTGATTTTCGCACATTAGTACAGGCTGAGACTAACAGCTTTTACCTTACACTTCCTCAGGTCTAATGTAACTCCCCAGCATCGCGCCCACACACACACACACACACTGCTTCCTATGGGCACTATACTGAGAAAATAGGACTTGATGTACTGAATACCCACAGCTGCCACACGATTGGATTAAACCTTGTCAAATGAGGAGTCCTCCCCTAGTTTAACAACAACTCCGGTCAGCCAAGCCACATTTCTGTGGGCAAGTCTGCATTTCTTCTGCAGCTGCAACGCAGTGTTGCTGCTGAGTTGGCCATGTCTCAAGTTACCCCCACGTAGCACTCCGGTCAGCTCAGGCACATGCAAAGGTAACCATGGACTGCAGTGCTCCACTGACCCAGGGCCAGTCTGCTCCAGAACAGTCTCCACAGAGCAACTTAGAGCAGCCTAAGGGTTGCTTGTGACTCCAAGGGGCTGTTCTGGCAGCCGTGGTTGTTATGGTAGCCTTCCCAGCTCCCTGTGCACTGGCTGCAGGAAGTGGGGAGGAGCTACAGCAGCTCAGTTCCCCCTATACAAGAGATGTTTGGGGGTGAGTTAAGCCATCATTAGGGCAGTTGACTTAGTCCCTTGTGTCTGCTGCTGTGGAAAATATGGCTGAGGGGCCCATTCACCTCTCTGCCCACGTATGCCACTGTGGTGGCGGTGTACAGGGGCCATTAAAGTGCTTTTTAAGGCAATCTAACTATCTTTCCAGACGGCTGATGCACGATTCCTGAACAGTTGGGGTTGGCAATGGTCTCATGCTGTAGCAGCCCCTAGGCAGCCCTCAGGAGGCTGCTGTAAATTAGAGCTGGGGGTGGGAAGGGGAAAAGACACATTGATCCCCTCAGCAGCATAAAATCTGGGTGGCACAGATGTGGCACAATGCTACCTCTGCCCACCCTCCCCTCCCCGCTGGGCTGTATTCTGTGCTGCCCCTCCCTGAGCACAGAATCCATCCCATCTAAACCTGACACTGGGGGCCAGGCAGCATAGGCAGATCCATCCTGTTTGGCCTGGAAAACACCCCCCGTTCTGTATATGAGGCATTTCCTTGTTTTGAATGCAGAAAGGCGGCTTTGTGCCCACCTATTGGAAGTAAATCCATGCGATGACTCTACCCTGTTGCCGCAGGGGCTGCATTCCTATTAACAAGATAATGCTGCAAATTCACGCCCAGTTGTTTGAATCATGACATGTAAGCTCCTAGGACAGCAGCAGCAAGAAATAAAAATCCAATTCACCACTGCTTTTCATTAGCCAAGTAACACGGGGTTAAGCTTTCTCACACAATAAAATGCTGCAGGCGCTGTAGTTAAAGGGACTCAACAATTGGAAAAAAAATCACATTTTCATCTGAAAATGTTGCACCTGATATGGCTTGAAGTAACCCCCTAAGCTTATCAGGAGAGAGACAGATTTGCCAAATATTCATTTTCCCCTCTCTGTTTTCCAGTTTGTTCCCATTCTGAATTTGACAGGCCTTTGGGGCTTGTCAGCTTCACTGATTTCTGGATGGATAGTTGCATCACGCTCCTGCACTGCTCTGAAAGGAGCTCACAGCCACAGTCTGCAAAAGGGTGTTTCTCAGGAGCGGCAGCAGCAAAGCTGACTTTTGTAAAGAGATTGCTCGGTGCACAAGAAAAACACTTTACTTACAGTACGGCAGGCTGAGAACCTGCTGCTTTCTTTAGCTACATAAAAAGGGGGGGGGGGAACAGAGTAATCAAACAGGAAGTAAGGGAGGAGTGGAGCATGGATCCAACCCATAATACTCTGAGTAACCAGTTAACCCCTTGATGACAACTTGACTACACTCACCCTTTAATTTGCATCCTGGATGTAGTCTTTTAAATCAGTGGTTCTCAATCAGGGGCCTGGGGGCTATGAGCAGGTTTCAGGGCGGGGCACCAAGCAGGACCATCATTAGACTCGCTGCGGCCCAGGGCAGAAAGCCAAAGCCCCATTGCATGGGGCTGAAGTCTGGGACCCTAACCCTCACCACCTGGGCTGAAGCTGAAGCCTGAGCAATGTAGCTTTGCGAGGGCCCCTGTGGTGTGGGGCTCTGGGCAATTGCCCTATTTGCTACCCCCCAACAGTGGCTCTGGCTTTTATATGCAGAAAACCAGTTATTGTAGCACAGGTGGGCTGTGGAGTTTTATAGCGGGGGGTGGCTCAGAAAGAAAAAGGTTGAAAACCTCTGTTTTAAATAACCAGGGTCTCTTCTCTCTCTCACAGGATTGTTTCTTTCATTGGCAG